TAGCCTGATTTTCAGACGGGGCCTGGGTCCTACGCTTCTCTCCGCCCCCAAACAACCGTCTGATGGATCTCATAGGATTCCGTGTTCTGCCATTGTTTTATTTCAGCCAATCAGAGCGGATTTTAGCTTTTTCTCAAAGWGAGGTATGTAAGGAATGCAAAACAAAATGGCGGACGAAGTGGAAGCGTGTATAGCGAAGTGTTGTGATATATTTTCAATTCCTGAGCTCTATCCTGAACAGAAAGAGGCGTTGAAAAGTTTTGTAGATCGAAAAGATGTGTTTCTTAACTTACCAACCGGTTATGGGAAGTCCTTGGTGTTTCAAATGGCCCCTTTGCTACACATTGAACTAGCAAAGACCAGCAACAACAGCAACTTATACACGAGTGAGCCTATTTTGATCGTTGTTTCGCCTCTGAAAAGCCTCATGGAGGATCAAGTACAGTACCTCCGTACCTTGGGTATCAAAGCTGGTGCCATTGGGGACGATAAAGACGTTAATCAACAGATTTTCGATGGAAAATTTACAATTGTTTACGCTTCGCCAGAGGCATTGCTTGGTAAAGTAAGATGGAGAACTATGATATCTAAGTGTAGATTAGAACTATGCTTTTGACGCCCAAATATCAGCGCTGTCTCGTTGGCATCGTAGTAGATGAAGCACATTGCATCAGTCAGTGGTAAGTTGAGTTTAATTTTCTTAAAYGCGGTGYAACACATTCATTTATTTGAAAAATCTTTGTCTAAAATCTCGATTCGTTGGATACATMGCGAAGCCTAGTGACAACCGATAATATATGAAACACGCTTTCTCCTTCAACTTTACATACTGATACAAATGTATGTAATATATACAATATGAGCGGGCGATCTGTATGAGGATTTAAAACAGCGAGCTGAAAGCGAGTTTTATAAGTGGATTAATAATTGCAAAGATTAATCTACAAATTGCAATACTTTTCTTGTTGTTTTAGGGGGAAGTCTAAGAGCCAAAATGCAGTGGCATTCAGAAGATGCTTTTACAAGGTGAGCGAACTTCGTTCCCTTGTACCAAAAAAACTACCTTTCATGGCCGTCACAGCCACTGCAACAGACAAAACAAGGTCCGACATCATTGGTGTGCTACGTCTTAAAGACTTTGTTGATATTCATCAGAGTCCCAATAAAGATAACTTGGCATTCCATGTCATTCATATGGATACAACCCACTCAGTTCTAGATTATTTTCAGTGGGTTTTGAGAGATGTGAAAGAAAACAAAAAAGACAGGACAATAATATATTGTCAGACTATAAAGCAATGCGCTAATTTGTACAGTCTCTTTTTGAAAGAGCTTGATTTGAACAAAGAAAACCACGAAGGACGAAAAGTAGAGATGCTACATGCCCTGTCGACCAAATCTGTGAAAGAGAATATATTGAAAGCCATGGCTAATGAAGATGGCTGCATCAAGGTTTTAATTTGTACCATTGCATTTGGAATGGGGGTGAACTGCAAAGGAGTCAACAACATTATCCACTTTGGACCCTCAAAGACAGTTGAAGCATACATTCAGGAAAGTGGACGTGCAGGGAGAGATGGAAGGCCCAGTAACTGTATAATTCTGTACAAAGCACTTATGCTATTACACGTTGAAAAAGAAATGAGGGACTATGTGCGAGGAAAGTGCGACTGTAGGCGCCAGTATTTGATGAGTTCCTTTGAAATCACAACAAATTCATGCCAAGGTCAATCGAAATGTGACAAATGCAGTGGAAGCACTGAATTCAGTCCTAGTATTGAACAGAAGATAACAGATGATACCCCCAAACGCCAGATTCAACCAGCTCAACTATCACAGTTGAAAAAAAAACTTATCATTTTCAGGAAAAACATGTACTGTGAACTAATCAAGCAAAGTCCAACTGGGCAGTTGCCTGTTATTACAATTCCAGATCTGCTTCTTGGTTTCTCTAACAATCAAATTGACCAAATTATTGAACATTGTGACAAAATATTTGATTTACCTGATCTGTACAAATATGTTGAAATTTGGAAAAGAAGGCATGCAATAACAATATTGAAGATCATCAGAGAAGTATTTGATGAAGAAAGACAGGATGATGGTGACGAAGATGAATTATCTGATGATGACTTAGAATTTGATGATGATGTTGATGACAAAGACATGTGGGAAATCGTCATTCCAAATGAAGAACTAATGGAGTTAGACTGGGACGAATTGTCTTATAGTGGGCTTTTCCCAGAAGACATGAGCATCTTGGAATATTCTGCTGAACAGATACCTGATATCCCAGATGCTGTTGCAGGCATGATTGACAATATTCAAATGGACTGACATAAACAATGTAATATGAATATTACTGTAAGGTATTTTCAATTGATTTATTGCAAAATGCATACTAGATACATATTTGGGTAGGCCCTTTTATAGAAAGCATCTATTATATAGTATTACTTTCTCCTATTTATTCAAATTGGCCACACTATTTGATCTTTCTTGTGTTTTGTACATTGTATTATAATAATTATGACAGTTTAAGACTTGTTGCAAATGCATGCAGATAGATAATAATCAACAAAGTATTCAACGGGCTTTCCTGCCCAAATCAATGTTTTTTTTGTGCATGTTTATCCATTTGTACAGAGCAGACAYATCTAATGCAGATAGTGGGTCCCTCATAATCTCAGGGAAGCTCAAGTAATGCCTCCCAGGTGTAAAAGTGCACACCTCTTCTTTGACAAATACATCAATAATTGCTTTGAGGTCTTTGCTGTTATCTGATGTTACATGTGTTCCTGATTTTCTTACAATGCTACACTCATTGTCAATGTTACTTAATAGAGTTTGTGTTACTTTTTGCGCTCGGCATATTCTTCTGACAGGAGCAGGAGCAACATTTGGTCCCAAAGCTTTTATGTTCTGCTTGAGGTAGTTATTTTCATGCTCCAAATCTAGGTCAAGCGACACATTTCTACCAGCTCCTCCTCTGTTGTTTACTGTTCGATTGTGAATAAGGTCAAAAGCTTGGGCTGGAGGAAGTAAAGCTTGTGCTTGAAACTGTAAATATAGAGCTTCTAAAGCATACTTGTATGTTGACTTCTCATGTTTGAAGTGGAGCAGAAAGAATTTCCAACATCGCATAAGTCTAGGACCATCCCCTTCAGATGTAGCATCTAAAAAGTTCATGAACAATAGTCCATGGTTTAACAATGAKCAGTTGTAATTGTAGGCATCATCGCGTAACTTAGCTTCCTTATTAGCAGACTTTTCAGGATACTTTGATGACAAAGCTGGTATTTCTGTAGGCTTTAGTTGGTTGTGTGTCATCTCATGCTTTTTTTTACTTTTGCCATTATATTTAAATGACTTTGTGCATCCTTCATGCCTACACATGAACCTACCATCAGCTGTAAGGTTTTGGTGATCAAATATGTCTTCCTGCTCTTGATTTGACAGAACTTTATTCATAAGCTCTTTTTGAAGATCCTGGTCGATTATAAATGTATCGACTAACTTGATACATAGTTTGTGCAAGTACAGTTGTTTAACAARATCAGGTGCATTTTTGAGTTCTTCTGAAATGACAAACTTTTTGKGTTGTTCTTCCAGTTTCTTCATATCCAACAAATTCATTGCTGCAGCAATAATACGTGCCTTGAGATCTATTAGCATGAAGGCCTTGCAGGGCGCCCAGGCACTATKAACATCAGAAAMAACATTTCGTCTATTGATGACATTTCTGTTAGCATAAAGAGTCCCTATATCTGCATCAGAACTGCCAGAATAATGTCGGTTGAATATGACCTGCAATAATAATTGTAAAGCATTGCAATATGAGTAATATTAACAAAGAATACTAACTTGGAAAATAAAATAG